AGGGGTTAATTTAGGAATTACAAGATTTTTTATATGCACACATATATGTATATTTATCAAAAAATTTTGTTGCTTGTCAGTGAGTTGAAAGTGATTGATCTCTAAAGTAAAACTCTAGAAGTCTTAAATGAAAACTGTAGTGTTCTACCTCAATGTATGTATAACGGTAAGTATAGGGCAGAACAGAAGACAACATGCACACAACATAAGAAACATTAGGTGAGAAGTATCTAAAGAAATTACTATTTATAGCTGTCATTGCCTTTAAACTGTTTTCTTCAAGTGCCAGAAAAGCCTGTTCTCTCAGTTATTGCTGTTCAGCCCAGTATGAGCTCTGCTGATCAAATTGCTTCCCGCCTTTGTGATTTTTCATTTAGACCTCTGCAGGTCTAAATCTGTTCCTTTCTGCTGGTCCAGATTCAGTCAGGCTTCTGCTCTCCAACCTAAGCATCTGAGAGTGATGTCCTAGTCACTCACATCTTTAAGGTAAAGAGGTGGTGGAGAACAAACAATTCACAGCCACGTGGGCCTTAACTGGCACATCTCATCTCTTCCTGTGTTTTTCCATTCTTTTGGAACTTGCTATGTATTAACCAGAAGCTGAGACATGGGCAGACTAATGTGAAATTGGGCTACATGGTAGAGATATCAGGAATGTGAATGGTAGTCAGTGAAAAAAAAACCCCAACCCGTACATGGGCTTCAGATCAGATCCCAGTATAGAAGAAGAGAGGGAAAGAACAGGAACGTTCCATGGTCACAAAAATAACAATCTCCAACCTGACCTTGCTCATTTCACTGTGAAATGAAAGGCTGCTGATAAACCTCAGCGTTTCTTAAATGTTTCAGTGATGCTCAAATCAGAGCAGCAAATGAATCTTGGAAGCAGCTACAGGCCTCGTATTTAACTCTTGATTTGCTGTATCTGGTTTATTATTACTACAGGAAAATGGCTCATTGTGACCGTCTGATAGAAGTGGATGACATGCTGATGATGGGTCACAAGCCAGACCCAATGTGTGTCTTCACCTATGTCCAGTCTCTCTACAGCCACCTACGACATTTTGAATAAAAGCATCGACACCTCTCCAGCCAGAAGGGTCAAGTACAGTATGCTAATGGGAAGAATGACATTTTGCAAGTGGAGCACAGTATTATTTCTTGCTTTTTACTGTCCCTTTGCTTACATTCAGCTGTGTGGCTGGCTGACTGAAGTGTTGCTGAGCAGTGCCTTGAAGTGTCGATCACATCACCATGTATGGAAATAGGTTTGAAAAAGACAAAAAAACATAGGCAAAGGCAAATGCTGTCATTTTGGTGCTGTAGTAGGTTGGATTTTTAATATTTTTATGATTAAAGATCACAGGAAGCTGATTTGCTGCTCCTATCTCTGTAAGGTTGGGGACACAGTTTTATGCAGTGACAAGTAACTCTGCTATGAAGGTGTTTCCTCTTAAAAATGCAGGTAAAACTCCAGAAGATAGCACCTTCACTTCCATTTCTCTGTTGAGCATAGTACGAAAGAAATAGCAGATGGACAAGGAATATTCTGTTTAGCTAATAATAACCTACAGTACTCAACCACTAGGGCAATACTGTCTCTCCTGCAACCCCGCCCCTCTGCCCCAGCACACACGCACAGAGATCAAACGCACAGAGGCATTGTTTTGTTCTCTTAAAACATAAAGAGAACAAAACCTCTGGTCTGCTGCCTGCGGTGACAAATAACTACCAAGTTGCACACCAGCGTTTGTCTGTAATGCGCACATCTAAAATGATTTGCTTAGAGGCATGTTAAAGCCTCTACTGGCATTCCTGGATTAATTTCTTGATCATGAAGAATGGCAATAGCTTCTCTGTATATGAGATTGTGTGCTTGCATAATTTATGATTACAGGATAGGTGGGAGCTGGCAAGGTACAAACCTCTCTGAACAGTTGGAATAGAAACAAGGTTGTAGTGTGCTTAGACATGGACTCTGGAGGAGAGCAGCTCTCCAGTGTGGATGGGAGTGAACTCTTTACAACTTGTTTGGTCCTCATGCTGACCCAGAGGTAGACAGACAATACACCAAAAAGGTATGAAAGATATCAGTGTCTTGAAATGCCTTGCATTACTTTCAGTTTTCAGTTACATTAGCATTGAAACCACAATACAGTTTGATTATTCCAGATTTACTAGACAAAAGGATTGTGTATCCCCCTTTGTGGCTTTCTTTTTGATAAATCAACAGAGCCTTGTATTCACAGTGAATGTTAAAATCAAAACCACTAAGAAAGCATACTTTAAAAAAGCCTTTTAAAATTATTTCTTCCCTAAGAACAGGCTCATAAAAAGTAAAAACTGAAAGCCAGAAGCCCTCTGCTCATGCTAGAGAATGTTTTTTAACCTGCACTTGTGCTTTTTGTAGATATTTATAAAGATTACTTTGGTTCTGTATTGATGACCATTTATAATAAAATATGTCAAGCGCTCTTCAGATTTGTTGCATCGCTTTAGAATGAAGTGACAGATAACCAATCAGTGAAAACAACACAGAGCTTTTGCTTAGAAGATTTTAGTTCTATTCATGATGCTCTGAATTTCAGTTTTAAAAAGTACAGAAGTTCAGTTGCATTTGGAATATGATTTTCATTCAGTCTCCCTTTCTAGTCAAGTTTACTTCAGAAACCACGAATGAAGCAACCATTTTATTAGCAGTCTCAGGAAACAACAACAACAACAAAACCACCAAAAGTGTATTAAGGCAAAGTATAAGTTATCTGCTCTAGATGTGTATCATCAGGTTCTGTTTAAAGTGTAGCTATGCTGTTGCTGTGACACTGTGGCAACTGTTTGAGAGACTTAAATACACTTAATAATATAAGGATCTGAAAGATACTTAATCAAATTAGCAGGATCCTTGGTATTGTAAATCTCACAGCTTTCATGAAAGTGGACAGAGATTGGGTGGGCTGTTCATATTAGTCATGTAACTGCCATTGTCTTCAGTTTTTTACTTTGTCTTGAACAGCCATAATTCTGAGGAGTGAGTGTGCACCTGGAGCTCTACCAAATGCCCCGTAAGGCTAAGCACACTGTACTTATGGTTTGGAGAAGTTTGGATTAAGCATGATGAGAAATCTGTCCATGGCTGTCACCCGCAATACACCTATTTACGTTCTCACAGCAGAATACTTTTTATTGACTAGCAGAGCCAAGTTCCATCATAGCTACCACAAGAGGGGCAATACTGGCTTTATACATCGCATTTCTTCACAGTCCCAGGGCACGGATGATTTTACTGTGTGATATGAGTGCTAAAGTCACAGGTAAGTGCTTGGCCAATTTAGGCCTAGTAGCATGTAATTATATAAAGGAAGTTTTAGATAGTAAAATTATTGCCAGTTCACCAGGGTGAATTTACGCCCTTTCTGTAATTTAGCTTGTTTTCACAGCTACCTGGAAGGTCTTTGTACAGGTTTTCTAAAGTCTTCCCACTTCAAAGAGGTGATGGTAAAGATACCTGGTACTTGCCAGCAAACTGATTGCAGGAAAGTGGAAAACTGTAAACTGAATTTAACTGCTAGTGTTTCATGTGTAAGAAGATGAGGGAGATAGTGCTATGACGTAATTTTAGAAAAACTTACAGCTTTGTGCATTAAGAGATCTGATCTATATGAATAACCTTGACTACTTGATTGTATGATTAAATTGAAATTAAAGTATATAATGTATGCCCCAATGGATTTTTCAGTATTTTTATTATTTAAAAAAATGCAGAGAGCATGTATGTATATGACAGGAAACGTGTTTAGCACGAGTGATAAAGAGAATAAGTTGGCATAATATATATTTTACACAAATGGACTATTTCTTAGCTTTTCTAGTGTTTCTGCACTGTATCTAAAAGTGTCTAAGGTTGTTTATTGGCAACTTGATCCTGCTTTTAAAGGCTAGATTAGTTTGTTCTGTGCAATATTTTCAAGATAATGTCAGCAGAGGCATCATCTACTTTTTAAGATTATGTTTGCGTACAGCTTCCCACAGCAGGAAAGTCCTCCTCTTTGAAAGTATAATAATTGGATGGATGCCTTTTATCACTTTTCCCTTTGTGCGACACTTGCAATAAAGTGTTTAAACATATGTTCAAACTCCTGCATACATGCAATTAGTTCTAAAACTAGCCTACAAGGTTCAACGTGTGTCATTAATTTAAACGTGGCCTGGTTTACAGGGATAGTTTTAAAATGTCCAGAATAAAAGATGGGATTGCTTTGCATCAGGTGCATTTAAAAGCCACTTTCAGTTATGTTAAAATAGCTCTGTGTCTCTAGATAAAGCCTCAATCGAGTTAACTTAGGGTCATAGAATAGTTTGGGGTGGAAGGAACTGATCACTGTGGTGGTCATCTAGTCCCAAGTCCCCCCCTACAATAAGCAGGGACATCCAATCCAGACCATTCTATGATTTTATAATCTTCAGCCTGATCATGTTGCTCAGAGCCCCATCCAAACTGATCTTGAATGTTTCCAGGGATGGAGCAGCCACCACCTCTCTGGACCACCTGTGCCAGTGTTTTGCCACTCTCATGGTAAAAGAATTCTTCCTTATAACTAGTCTAAATCAACTCTCTTTTAGTTTTAAACCATTGACCTTTGTCCTATCGCTACAGGCCCTCCTAAAGAGTTTGTCCCCATCTTTCTTATAAGTCCCTTTTAGGTACTGAAAGGCTGCAGGAAGCTCTCCCCTGAGCCTTCTCCAGGCTGAACACCCTTTGTTCATAGGGAGCCGGCTCGCGGCGGGGGCGGGGCCGGCTCGCGGCGGGGGCGGGGCCGGCTCGCGGCGGGGGCGGGGCCGGG